ATTATCTTAGTAAACTATTACCGGTTATGTTCAGGTTTCCTTCAGTCTAAAGATAATTTTGTACAGGGCCAAAACAACTCAAAATACCGTGACTGAGCTCCTTTAAAGGTAATCAAGTTTTTGAAGCTAACTCGTTACGGCAGTGAATTTACCTTTTTCAAGTTCAAGTTAATAAGTTAATAGGCTTTCTCCTAGGCCTTCACGGGCAATTGAGTTTCGGTGACTTATCCGAGACGAACAGCCGGAGTAGCCACACTTTTCGCCTTCGACCACGTGACCCGAAAACTATTGACCGGGATGAATTATGGAGGCCTAGGAACTAGGCAAATAAATAGTTTTAAAAAATGTTTCACTTGCTCCCCAGCGCAGCCCGACAGTTTCTTTAGAAACAAATAACTTTGCTGATTCTATGTGAAAAGAGCTCTTAGCAAGAGCTCGCTGAAAACATTAACGTCTATTTCAAAGCTTTCCAAAGAGATAGATAGTCGTTTTCTCGTATAAGAGCAAAGTGATTCATCTCTTTTATATCCCTTCATTTTAAGTCCACCAATCATCTGTGCAGAATGAGTAAAGACAAGGTCCTGTGGATAAACGTTAAGAGAGTTAAGCCTTATTCCCAAGTTAATACTTCCCAAGTTAGTTTAAGATCACTTCGAGTTTCGGAAATCCCATTAATCGTTTCAAGAAATACCAAATCACACGCATTTTCATCCTTCACGATAGAAAATATCCACGCAACGCGCGTCGTTATTGATCTGGGAAAGAACTGTGAGAAGGACTACTTTGAAAATAAACCCTATACGGGTAACGAATTCGCCAATTTCTTTTGTCAGAAATTTAACAATCAATGAAAGCGGTTTCTTGAAATCAAGCTGCCAAACTCCTCAGCACAAAGCTCCTTGATTCAAAATTATACCTTCCTCGCAATATACGCNATTCTATGTGAAAAGAGCTCTTAGCAAGAGCTCGTTGATAGCATTAACGTCTATTTCAAAGCTTTCCAAACAGATAGAAAGTCGTCTTCTCGTATAAGAGCGAGGTGATTCATCTCTTTTATATCGCTTCATTTAAAGTCCACCAATCATCTGTGCAGAATGAGTAAAGACAAGGTCCTGTGGATAAACGTTAAGAGAGTTAAGCCTTATTCCCAAGTTAATACTTCCCAAGTTAGTTTAAGATCACTTCCGGTTTCGGAAATCCCATTAATCGATTCAATAAATACCAAATCACACGCATTTCCATCCTCCACGATAGAAAATATCCACGCAACGCTCGTCGTTAATGATCTGGGAAAGAACTGTGAGAGGGACTACTTTGAGAATAAACCCTATACGGGGAACGAATTCGCCAATTTCTTTTGTCAGAAATTGAACAGTCAATGAAAGCGCGTTTAAGCACAAAGTTTTCTTGAAATCAAGCTGCCAAACTCCCTAGCACAAAGTTCCTTGCTACAAAATTATACCTTCCTCGCAATATACGCATCCAGTCTAGGCCACGGTCTAAGCCGCTTCGTTTGATTATAAACCCTTCCCCCCACAGACCTTGCGTCGTATTATATGTTCTTGCAGTACTCACAACGACGGTATTTCATTCAGTGTTTCCAAAGTTGATGTTGAGAAAGTTAACATGCAGAGAAAACCATTTTAAAGGCAAAATTTCTCCTAAATCTGTACCAAGACAGTTTAGAAACCGTATGTTAATTCTGATAGAAGCCCTCACAAAATACCCTCTCGGTCTCAACCCGCGCCAAAAAGCATCATACGGTTGCGGTATTTTTATCTTTGTGCCTTCGTAACTCAGGTGATATTAATTTTGTTTTGATAATTAACATTTGCTTCATTTGTCCTCACAAAAGCGCCCTCTTTTTGTCATCCTTGTTAATTTCCTTCACCAGGAAATATTCCTTTTATACTTCGTGCTAACTTCCTTCTGTTTGCGTTAATTTAATTGAGTTATGAATTCCTTAAAATCATAAATAGCTCGTTATTTTCGGCTGAGTCAGAGAACAAAACAAAACTTGCAGGGCGTAAAATAATAATTCTAAAA